AGTGAAACTTACTTCTGGACAAACGGTCATATTGATAATATCGCAATTCCAGCTGCGAAACACCTCGCTTTCGGCGCGTGAGGAATAGCGTGGTCCCTCAATGCATACTGCTGTGCCTTTTTTGAAATATTTGTACTTCAGTTCCTCAGCGCTTGATATTAGCACCTTCAAAATTTACACATAAGCCTCTCACACACAAATATGAGTAAAATCAAGCATATTTTAAAGATGTGTTTGTATGCACACGGTCAGAATTCTTTCACTCAAGCATGTCTGATTACGTTAAAATGCTTTGATAATTCATCAAAGTGGTTTTTCTCGCCGCTGATGCAACAGTCACCTTCTTCCACTACGACTCTTCTTTATTCAGGTAGTTCCATACAGATGTTGCAGTGAATCCTCCGTCACATTAGTGGTTTTCCCTCTGCTCTGTTATTCTGTGCGAACTGCATAAGTACCATGCAATAATCCAATAAATACATTTGCTTTTATTGTCATTTATGCCAAACAGACTGCCCAGCTCCTGGCGTACATTATTATTTATTTTAGACAGGAATCACAATACTTTATTATGCGTTTTGTGCTGTGTAACAGCAGTACAAAACGCATATTGTCACGGGGTTGTCCGTGTATGTATTTGTGTGTGTGTCCGCAGCAACTTGTCCGCAACTTTCAATCGGGAACCACAAAAGCTATGAGGCTGAAAATTTAGGGGAACGCTCCCCACCTACGTGTGACCCCGCAAATTTAAATTCAGTTTCCCTATACATGCGGGTAACACGTACGGCCCGGTAAAAGTTTTTTATGGGTAAATTAATATCTCGGGAACCACGAGGTCTAGAAGGCTGAAATTTTGAGGTAATGACCCCTGCCCACGCTCAACCTTGCCTATTCAAATTCAGCGTTTCCGCGCTCTTGAGTATCACCTGCGGCCTCATAAAAAACTATTAACTCGGGAACCACGGAAAGATATTCACTCTTCAAGGTTTCGAATTCAGCTTTCATGCGCTGATGCGTGAAATTTTT